AGGAAGTTCTAAATTGGTGAGTGTGTGACTCAGTGTTTAATGACAGCTTTAACTTTTTTAGTACAAACACTTACTTTGAGTAAGTACCTTGATATGTACGTGTATTTCTTTAAAAATTATATATACTACTGTACTAACAAATTATAGGCATTACAAAACAAAAAGATGGAGAAAAAGGAAGTAAAACCTACATGATAATGAAACTTGCTCACTATAATTAATATTTGTAATGAAAGCAGTATATTAAAAATGCTTCACTGTTTTTGAAAACTCTTGGCTAATGATTTTGTGATATGAACAGCTGTCACATTTTTATAAATTTAATACAAAGATTCAAAACTCATTGATATTCTTCAGTTACAAGATACAAAAGACAATTCTGTTTCCAAGTTTTTAATGGGCTTTTTTTTTTTGAGTTTTTACAAGTCACAAATCTACCATGTTTGTTGGCAACATGTTTAGATTACAATGAAAACACTTCTAAACAGCTATTTCCAAACTGCCTCTCCATAGCCTAAATTTCTTTTGGAAAGCAATCACTCTCCCTCCTCTTTGACAGAACTTCACATTTATCTTGGATTTTTCTTTCTCTCCAAAGTATTTGTGACTACTGATCTTTTGGAAAGCAATCACTCTCCCTCCTCTTTGACAGAACTTCACATTTATCTTGGATTTTTCTTTCTCTCCAAAGTATTTGTGACTACTGATAGCATAGCAAAGTTGGAAAAGGGAGGCAAATTTGGAAGCTGTCCTTTGTTAAAGAAAGATGTAGACTCAAGCACTCTTAAGAGTATTGTGCAGAAAATCAGGGAAGCTGAATGGGGGCAGAGATAGTCATGCTCTCTCCCCAGAGCTGTACAAGGACTGTACAGCTTTTACCACCTGAAGAAGCCTTCTTTCTCATGCTTCATCATGCCAGGACATAAATCCAATACCTCAGCTGTTAAACTTCAGCTCCCTTGGCTGCAGGGAGAGGGCTGAGGAGAGTAGCTCAATACACCCGCATTACACTCATGGCTAAGTCCAGGTATGCCCTTGAGAGATGCACTGATTTAAAGCCTTCGTGTTTACCAACTTAAACAACTGAATGATACCCTCCACCTCTTAAATTACCATACTTCATGATATACTTAACAGCCAGGTGAACAGGACCTCACCTGAGCAAACAATCCCCGCCCCCTTCTCCACCTAGGAAATCACACTCACCATACAGGACAGTAGGCTGAGAAGGCACCACTGCAAGACCGATTTTAACTATCAACACAGCTAGATTTCTTTCTTAAATGCTTGTAAAACTGTAAGTAAAAGGTCTCATACTTAACTCCAATACCCCATGGGACTGTCCTTTGCATTTTGCTTTCAATGCTAATATATTTGATTCACAATGGTCTCAACCCCATTTTCATAAACAATTGTCAAATACTCTAAGCCCCAGGTAATCAGCGGGAGCTCAAAAGTACAGAATGGCTTTACCTAGTCTGAGACCAACCCCTAGGTGAGTGCTTTCAACCCTGGCTGAATAATGTAACTACAGCTCTCAGAGAATGCCAACACCCCCGAGTGTGTCCCCCTACCAGGGATTTGAGGGCCTTGGTCTGGAGCCTGAGAGGCAGGAAGTGTAAAAGCTCCCCAAGTGTTGCTAACATACAGCTGACCTTGAGAACCTGGAGGAGGTTTGCAAAGGCCCTTCCCCTCCAGGAGCCTCACTTCCTAGGGGCTTGGATGTTCATCAGAAGAGTAAACTCGCAGTTGAGCAATACTTCCTTTAGCCATCAAGTGCAAGGCTGAAGATGGGAAGTAATTTGTAGAAAAGGGGGCAACATGCTATTTCAGGTGCACAGGGCTGAGCTGTTTGTACAACACCCAGACATCAAATGTGGGGTTTGTGTTCCTTCAACACCAACTGGATATTCAACCCTTTAACTCAATCCAATCACTAACTATGCACAGATGAAGGCTCAGTTCCACAAGACTGCCTCCATATTAGAGGCCAGCTGCAAATGCCAGGCCAACTCAAATTCGGGAGTTCCCTAACCCTCAATACTTTACTTACTATTACCGGTTTATTAGAAAGGCTACAACTCAAGAATAGTCAGAGGAAAGAGATGTATGGGACAAGGAATGAGGAAAGGGGAGAGCAGGTTCTATGCCATCTCCTGGTACGCCACCTCTCAGCACCTTGATGTGTTCACCAACCCAGGAACTCCCAAAGAGTTCAAGAATTCAAGCTCTCCAAACTGTTCAAGAGTTTTTATAACCCAATCTCTAGGCATGCACTGCCCCCTCTTTCCCAGAGGAGAGAGTGGGTGCAGCTGCTGAAAGTTCCTACCCTCTAATCACTTGGCCTTTCTGGTGACTAGCCAATTCTGATGCCCTCTAGGGGTTACCATACCTTAGTCATTAGCATAAACTTGTGTGTGGAAAGGGACTGCTTAGAGGAACTCAAAGACATTCCGGACACCATCACTCCACATACTCCCAGGGTTTAGAGCTCTGTGCCAGGAACCTGGGTCAAAGACCAAATACATATTTCCTATTATACCACAAGAGCTAACACTAATAGCATTAATTAACACTTTCCAAGTTTACCACAAGGCTTGGCACTAGAAAATGTTTGATAAAAACTGGCTGATGACACAGTTGACTTTATACACAAACACACCAAACTCAGCAGATGGTTTTGCCTCCTCCTGCCAAGAAAAGAGAAATCCTCGAAATCCTGGTCCCCAAATCTAAGGCATCTTTATCCATCCTCTCCCTCCCTCTTTACATCAAAGACCAATTTCCCACCTGTGTCCTGGAATTCACCCCTATCATTTCTGAAATGATACCCAGTTCTATCATTTATTTCTCACTCCCACATCCTGAGCTTCTTACTCTCTACCAGAAACTTTCCTGAAGCATTAGATCATGTTCAAGTCTTTCTAATCTCAAGTGGAAAAAAAAGAAAAAGAGAAAAAGAAAGAAAACCACAGACCTTTATCCTGCATGTGCACTTGTCTTCTCAGTGGCCTTCACTAGCTTCTCCTCCAAACACAATCTTACCTTCTAGCACCAGCCCCTTTCTAGTCTCATCCCAGCTGGCTCTTTGGAAGATCTTTTGTATATGCAGTGACTACACGCAACAGCTCCCAAACATGTATTTCCACCATAGATCTCTTTCATGAGTTTCGGTGGCCTATTCCTCGTCTCCATGTGGCTGCTCACAAGCAGAATGCACCTGAATGGAATCTTCTTCCCTCCCTCACCTTATGCCCACTCCTCCCCCAGTGTTCCCTAACACTGTAAATGGTTTCACCATACTATCCCACTCATTTATGCCAGAAACTGAATCATCCTTGATACCTTTCTCTTTATCAACTATAGCCAAATAATCACCACTTTCTTACTGATTTTAACTACAAACTCAACCTCTCTCTCTGCCACTGGCTTCTACTCAGCATCACTGCACCATTCCTGGGAGACTGCAAAGCCTTTGTACTATTTGCCCACACTCCTCTCTCCCCCTCCTCAGGGTGGCCACACATGTGCAGCGACAAGAGAGGGGACTGGAGCCGTTGGCCTGGCCCAGCTGGTATACAAAGCAACACATCTTTTCTAATTGGGCTATCCCGAAGGGAAGCCTTTTTCTAGTTTACATAAAGGCACCAAACATGCCAACAGGGCCTATCCCTGCAAACCATTCTCCACATGACATTGACAAAGATCATTTAAAAAAAACTCAAACCTAATCAGCAATTCATTTCCTGTTTAACACCCTTCAGTGGGTTCCCACTAGCTTTCCGTTAAAGTCAAAAGTCCTAAAAATGACCCAACAGGCTTCATCCCAAGACATTCATGCCTTGGCCCTAACCCTTTCAGCCTAGAACTTCAACCTCTAATTCCCTTGACTTCTTCCCGTAAAAGACTACTCTACTCAATGTATACTTCATAGCAAATAGAAACGGACAGAATCATTTGCAGTAGTATTACTTTGTTTCCTACCACCTGATTTCATGAAAAAACATACAGTATTTACATCACAGGTGAGAAATTTTCATTCACCCAAGAATGCAATTTCTAGGGCAGAGAAAACAAATCTGAGTCCTTGTGTTTAAAAAGAAGCCAATATTTAAAATCAGGTTTTACAATTTTTTTTTAATGAATATTTTTCAGCTATATTTTTTGGGGAAAAGATTCTGGCCACTCTTTGGTGCAAGATTCTGGCTCTATGCTTTCATCCTGACCAAGTGGTGGAGCCCAGGACTGGGCCAAATTCCTGCATGGCTACGGGAAGGGAATGGCTGATACCCACCAAGACTTTGTAAGGAGGTCCTCTGCAGGTCACCTGGGATGAACTATAATTAATGAAGGATGGAGTCCAGTACATATTTGTGGCCCAGGCTACGGAAGTCCTTCCTTTTCAAGGCCAAGTTCAAGAGAAGGCAGCTGTAACCTCCAAACCCTCACCATGATATGGAAAAAATACCAACTTCCCTCATCTACCAATAAAACTCTGCAAAAGTAAATTCATGGTATGTTGTACATTGTTTTAAATAGAGGAGTTTCACCAGTTCTAAGAACTCCAAGTTTGCCTAAACTACCATCTTGAAGGCCTGCAAAAAAATCTATTAAGCAATAGCAGATATCCAGAGTTCCACTTTTCCTTCTTGCCAGAACTGAAATCTGCTACCAACTCCTCCCGCAGTGGGGGGCCGTGTCTGGAACTGCCTGAGCTCGTAGCAGGTAATTTACACTGATCTTTAAAAACCATTCACCCCTCCTTCTCCCTTCTATAAAACAGACCTGCCTTTCAGAGCAGCTCTGGAAGGGGGGCAGAATGCCCAGAGCAGGGGACAAGTCCCTGACCATGTGCCTCACCTAACCACCACCAAATTCAGGCCATATAAAGCTGTGGCCGCGTTATCTTCCCAATTCGCCTCTTGCTATTTGTAAAATGAAGACTTTCTTCCCTCTAGAAAGAAATAAAGCAGAGGATGCCAGGTGGGTACAAAACTTACCTCCGCCCGGGCAGCCCATAAGGTCCAGCCTGGATCTGCAGGCGGCCTCATCCACCCGGAAGAATGAGCAGTGCGTGGCCGGCAAGGGTGCCCGTGTTCTGCTCTGCATGGAGAGAAAACGCTGTAAATAGTTATAACTGTCAGTGCAAGCTTCTTCCACTTCAAAAAGCCAATAATCCAAAACTGTGAAAACATAAATCAGAAATTAGGAGCTAACAAAATAAAACAGAAACCTAGGAGGGGAGTAGACTGCGTTTAAAAATCACCTGTTTTCTTAACAGACCCAGCAGCGCGAGTTTCCTAGACACGCGCGCATATCGGACAGGGAGCGAGCAGGGTGAGGAAGGGAGAAGCGTTAGGGATTCGGAGAGCCTACACACCACACCTCCAACCCCAGCCATCCTCTTTCCCAGTTAGCACCTCTTTCCCAGTGGTTTGCCCCAGGGCGAGTCACTTTAAAACCCTGGCGTAGGCTCTTTCATAAGTAAAATGGAGATAATGCCGTTTCGCAGGGCTACGGGAAGGATTAATCAATTTAAAGCCGCTAGCACCCAAGGGACCGCAGTAACTGTTCGGTCCCTGGCTCTCCACTCCCTGCTTCTCTACGCCCGCAGCCAAACCCTCTGATTTCTAAGCGCCTACCCGACACGCGGACCAGGGGGAAAGAGGCCAGAAAAACTGGCTTCCAGGTGACACCGGGCACCGAAGTCCTGGCCCCGGAGCAATGAGAAGGATCGAAAAGGGTGCCCAGCGCCCTGGCCGACCCAGGGCGCACGTGCTCGCCGCAGACTCCTACTCGTCCGCTGCCTCCAGCCCCGACTCCGCTTCCTGTTCCCGGACGAAGCCCATCCAGCCCGCGACAGCGGGGCTCTGGCTGAGAGCCGTCTCCCTCCCTCGCATCCTTCCCATCCTCACCAGCCGCCGGCGGTCAGTCGAGCGTGTGCGAGGTGGGGTGGAGGGAATGGAGGAGTTGGTTACCTGAGGAGAGTGTCTGCTTCTGGGGCGCACGAGGGTGCGGTGCCGCGCGGCACTCCAGAGAAGCAGCGCGGAGCTGCCCCGGGCCAGCCGCGCACTCGCCCGGCGCCGCGCTGAGCTCCCGGCCCTCCCGGCCGCAGCCTCTGGGCCTCGGAGCCGCCCACCCGCGCCCACGCCCGCGCGCCACGCCCCGGGGCCCGGCCCCGGGGCCCCGCCCCCGGGGCCGCGCCGCGCCCACTTTGGAGGGAGCGGAGCTGGGGGCGCCCGGCGCCGCGCTAAAATGCGCGCGCCCTCTGGGCCTCGCAGCCGCTGGGCGCTACCTCTTTCGGTTTCCTCAAACTCGCCTTGGCTCTTCGTTCTCCAAACGGCGTGAGAGGTGAGCGCGTGAGTGGGATATTTTTCCAAATGTTATGCCCCCTTCCTCTGAGTCAGGAAACGCAGGAAGTCCTGTCTTTTCTGATTTTAAAAATATTTTTTTTTAAAAAGGAAAAAATGTTAAGTGCCAAGGTTCTTTTTGTAATGTAAAGCTTAGAGTTGACCATTTTTTTTTTCTGATAAGCTTCACGAAATTTACCATTTAAAAACTTACATTCACGCGCATTTTCACATAAAAACTAAGGTAAAAACTAAGTTGTGGAACCATCCATTGTAGTGCAAAGTAGGAAATGCCTTTCTCCCGCCCTATGGCACAGGCCTTTTTATCAATTATAGAAGGTCACACAGTCTCCTTTGTAGCAAGAGGAATATTGGGTATGGGTCTTCTACCCTGGAGATTTTAGCTCCTAGAGAGCAGAACGGGCTTTTATTTATCCACACATCACTTAGGTTTGGAGGAAATCAGCACACATGAATTGAAGTAAATGAAGGAACAAAGGGCATGCACACTTGCTTCTGGCCCACAGTACCCTGCTGGGCCTGTAACGTAAAGCTCAGACCCTGTAAGTGCCTTTCCCTGGAAGAGGAAACTTGACAGATGTCCGTCATTCACAAAAGATCACTGCTTAGGGGAGACATGTAAAGACAGAAGGCAGGGCTAGGCTGGCCTTAGAACAAACCATGTATGGTTGAGGCTCACCCTCTCAGGTTTTGGATCTGAAGAGGTTACATACCCTGGGGGGCAGTGACTGCTTAGACATGTCCACACAGAGCAGAAGGTGACTGTCTCATAAGTGGAGCATAAATTAGCCACATAACATAAAGCATCCTGGTTTCATGTTAACCCACCTGTCCCTTTTGTGAAGACCTGGTCTTTTCTAGGCTTTGGAATATTCTGGGAGGATAGCTCAGGACTCTGTCTTCTCACCCTCATGCCAGAGTGTTTCTAGGTGAGGCAGCACCATGCAAGCCCGCTGTAGTGACAGTGACAAAAGAGCTAATGAAATATTCCTGGAGGAAGGTAAATCTTTGCTCTTTCCCAAGGAGATTCCCCCTCCAATGACAGTCTTGGAAAATCTTGCTTTAATTTTATTTAGGAAAGTAATTTTCTTACAATGCATATGTGCAAGACCTAGAGCAAGAGGGAACACATGAGTTCCTTTTCAACTGTAGTTTATATTTTTATCATGGGAACAAAAGTTTGAACCCAAAATATCATCTGCAAATCTACACATAATTTGCATTTCAGTCAGAACTGTAAAAAAGTAACTGCAATTTGTTTTCTCCACCTATTGCTAATCCAGATGGCCTTTTTTTACTAAGGGACAAAATGGTGTTTTTTAATTTCTTAAATAAAGCTATTACGAAGATTAGCGTGTTGCAGAAACCCTCATCATACAATATGAAATTAACTTCACAAATTTTATTAATTTCTTGTTTGAAGCTAAGCCTGCCACTTCTTTCTGCTAAACTAAACATGTTAACTTCATCCTCTCTTGACCAGCTTTTTTCTAACTGGGCTTACATCAAGGATATTTTTGTTTTTAACTGTCAATATATACTTGGTATGCCAGCAAGAACGCTCTCTAATTTCTAAAGCGGTGATCAAATTTGCTTGCTTTTGAGTTATCTACCAGTATCATTAAACCTTTATATATTAAAGAGGAAAGAAACTGTGCATATCTTATGACTCAGCAATTCTATCTTTGCATCTACTTAGCAGTTGTATCGTCAAATGTGGTAGCCACTAGCCACATGTGGCTCTTGAGCCCATGAAATGTGTGTAGACTGCATCCAAATGTGTTGTAAGTGTAAAATACACAGTAGATTTTGAACATTTAGTATTAAAAAAGGAATTTAAAGTGTCTCATTTGTATACTTTTAAAAATAATTATATGTTGAAATATACTTTGGATATATTGACTTAGGTTATATTAAAATTTTTAAAATAAAAGGGGATGAATAACATTTGTCATTAGCATAATAGTTGGATCTTTGAATGTATGTTGCCAAAGCAGAGCTAATTCTGCTCCCTTACAACGCTCCCTTGTATAATATAGTATGAGCATGGATGGATTGATGTCATCATTTAACTTTAATATGTAATATTGTTTTGATAGGAAAATTACTTTCAAGATCCAAACAACGGATTTACAAATTAACTTTCAGAATGCATCTTTTTTGTCTGTTGGATGCTGCACATCTCCCATAAATGTAATCTACTTTTTTTTTTAAATCACAGTAATATGTACCCATCATGATTCCACGCCAATAGTTAAGAAAGTATTTCTAGATCTCTTAGGGATGTATCAGTCAGGGTCCAGGCAGAAAACAGAGAATTGTTGTTAAAGAGACTTTAAGAAATTGGTTAAATTGGTTATGGAGGGCTGAAAAGGTGAAAAGGGAAACAGAGAGATTAGCAGCTGCAGGAAGCAGCTGCCACTGGTCTCTTGAGAGAGAAGCATAGGATTATCAGAAAGAGCTGGGAAGGGGGCCCTAGGGAGCTGGGACTCAGACCTCTAAGGCAGGGGAGTACGCAGCTGGTGCTTTTATTTCTAAAGGTAGATGTTCAAGCTGGATCTGAGAGGGTGAATCAAAAGCTAGAAATTGGAAACAACTGCTCACCCAGGGAAAAGAGCCATTGCACGGTGACACTGGCAGGAACCAGAAGCAGGAATATCAGGGAGTAAGTCCCTTCCTCCTCCAGCCATCCAGTCGCCTCAAGCTCCCTCTACTGGCAGAACCTCACAGCCAGGCCACAGCATCACAGAACAGAGAACACGGGATGGGTGAGCTGGGAGATAGACCTTAATAACCAGCATAAGAAGCAAACACATGATTATAGTTATCAATTATCCTAATATTACAGATGCAGGGAAGTACTGATAAACACAGCTGTTAGAGTGATAATTCATACAATTGCAATACATGTTCAAAAAAATATCCTAGTAACACTGCCATTAAAAATACAGCTCAAATAAGGGGACAGTGTTCAACTCCCACACCCACACCCTTTTGTGCTCCAGGAAAAGAGCTTACTGCAAAGAGTCCCCACTCTCCTCAAATGACTGAGATAACACTCACAGAGAGCTCCCTTGTTTACCTATAACAAGGCCAGACACAGACCCTCAGAGTTCCCTTCTTTGTCTTATAAATAATTAGCTGAGCTCTTTGTCCCCACTGACCAATCTGTTCAAAATGCATGCTCACTTTACTTGGATCAAACTTTGTTCAGGCTTCCCTCCTTCCCCAAGGCTTTGAACTTTCATCCACCTTTACCCTAAACCAGCACTGGGACACAGAATAAACCCCTCAGGGCCCCTTCTCAGCTGACCTCAAAGGCAACATTTCCTGATCAGTTGTCTGATCATGCCACCTGCTCCTACAGATTCTTTCTAGCCTGGTGTGGGGAAGTTGGGGTTCCTGTGGCCAGGATTCTCACACACAAACGCCTGATGATGTAACTGGCCTGTTGCTGGGCTGCTGCTTCCACATCTTTAGGCAATAAACTATTACTGCACTATATAGAGAGCTTGGCCCAGTGTTCTGGGTGGAGGCAGAGATGTTAGTGCTCGCCGTACCACTGGAAAACAAGCCAGGTAATAAACCCTTTCACCCCAAAGAACATTTTGCTGTCAATTTCTTTGGTCACACTGAATCCATAGTGAACTTGCCTCTGGCTGAAACCCATGGGCAAGACAATTGGTGAAAGTCGGCAGGGTTCACTGTTGACCAAGGAAAAAGACAGGCTGCCCTTATGGGAGGGGTACTTCAGCGGGCTGCCCCTGTGAATGGGGAGACAGTGCATCATCCCCCAATGGGTATGTGGTCTGAGGTGGCTTGCCTCCTAAAGGACTGGGCCCCACCCCAGGACAGGAGGCAAGTGGAGGTGACACCTGAGGCAGTAGGGGTGGCCCTTGATATAGTAAGGGAATCCTTTGAGAAGCAGAGTGCCCGGGAGGCAGCGGCAGAGTGCCCGGGAGGCAGCGGGAACTGTGGGTTGGCTGCTTCTCACAGTCTTAAAAAGGTCTACAGAGGAGACCCAAGAAATGGCGGCACGAGAACGCCAGCTGCAAACTTCAGTAGATTCCCTGAGGAGGGAAGTGGCATTGATGCAAGAGGCGGCACGAGAACGCAAGCTGCAGACTTTTGTGGATGCCTTGAGGAGGAAAATGGTATTGATGTGGGAGGAGGCGGCCCAAGAAAGCGAGCTGCAAATCTCTGTGGATTCCCTGAGGAAGAAGATGGCCTTGATGCGGGAGGCGGCAGCACGAGAGCCCTGGCAGCAAGGTGCCATTGGAGACAAGACGTCAGTGCTGCAAGATGTTCTGAAGGAAGAAGAGGCCATCAAGGAAAAAGACGAACTCCTAAGGGAAGCACAGGCGGAGGTGGCATGAGAACATTGACAGCGAAGCATTGAGCTGAAGGTAAGAGACCTTCTGAAGACTGAGGTAGCAGTGCTGCGAGGCACAGTAGAAAAGGTAAAGGTTGTAGCAGCGGAGGCACTCGGGGGAGGGGAGAGAAAGGTGCCATCAGCCCCAGAAATGGAGGAGCTGGGGAAGGATGAAGGGGTGGTGCCAGAGGCACTGGCTCTTCCTGTATTGAAAGCATGCCCAGTTGTTGTAAAGAAAATAAAGACCCAGCAGCTGAAAGTTCCCCAAGGAGAGGAGCAGCCCCCTTCCCTGTTCATGGAGCACTCTATGGTCCGCCCCTATACTCAGGCTGAGCCGGTGGATTTGGGCTCCTGGTTTAGGCAGAAGCCCTTGGAGTCAGTATCAGCTTGGCTTCTGCGTCTGTGGGACTTAGGGGTGGATGGAATTGTTCTGTCGGGATCATAGATGGGAAAGCTGTCTTCCCTGACAGTGCAGCCAGCCTTGAGGCAGCGATTACAAAATGCACATCAGACCTCAGGGAGTCACTCCCTCCTCGACTGGCTTATGGCTGCACTTCGTGCTGTGTGGCCCAGTCTGGGTGATCTGCCATCCTCTCCTATTAGATGGCAGACATATGCTGAGCTCCAACAGGTGCTGCAAGAGCTAGGCATAAGAAATGTCATCTATAGTCCAGACAATTATAATCCAGATGAAGAGATTTTCACTACTGGGATGAGAAATATTATACTTCAAATGGCTCCTACATCCTTCTTTGGGTCTCTAGTGGCCATTCTTTCCCCTTACTTAGGGCATCCCATAAGCATGGTGACATATACAGTAGCAGACTTAGGAGAGGCAGAAGCAATGAGAATCCAGAAAGAAATAAGACCTGTTACTCACAAGAAGAATTTACAGGGCCCTATGAAGGTTACAAGGACCCAGATGTGGGTTGATTTAATACGGGCAGGAGCAGATGGAAGGAAACTAGATGGAAAGTCCAACAGGATCTTACTAGAGCTATGGCAACAGCTGAAACCAGAACAGCAGTTCCAGCCATTAAGACCAAAGAGGCAGAGGTCAGAGATACAGCCACAAGTCCGGCCTGTGTGTTTGCAAGACTTCCTGCTGGAGAACGAGCCAGGCTCACTTGAGCCCACACAGGAAGGTGATTGGGGAATGCAGTTTGACTGAGGGAAAGGTCAAGATATCTGCCCTGAGGAACCAGGGGGGGACCAGAGGCCACATGTTGAAATAGCTATCCATTGGTCCCCAGTGAACATACAACATGTCCTGGCTCTGGTGGACACAAGGGGCTGAATGTTCACTGATTCATGGTAACCCTGAGCGGTTCCCCAGAACCCCCACTATTGTAGATGGATATGGGGGGAAGGCTATCAGTAGAAAAAGCCCAAATCCCTTTGGGAACAGGACTTCTACCCCCAAAAGAGTATACTGTATATATATCTCCTATTCCTGAGTATATTTTGGGGATTGATATCCTGCAGGGTCTGTGGTTGCAGACCACTGCAGGTGAGTTCAAACTGAGAGTACGTGTGGTGAAGGCAGTTCTGAGAGGACATCCTAGGTAGGCACCTGACCATAGCTTTGCCTGTGCCTCAGCAGGTGACTAATACCAAACAATACAAACTGCCTGGAGGGCATAAAGAGATTGGAGAAACTCTCTAGGAGCTGGAAAAGGTGGGTATTATAAATCCCTCCCATAGTCCTTTCAATTCCCCAGTGTGGCCTGTAAAAAAGCCAGATGGCTTCTGGCATATGACTGTGGATTACAGACAACTGAATAAAGTCATACCCCCTATGCATGCTGCTGTCCCCTCTATTGCAGGCTTGATGGATATCCTCAGCCATGAACTAGGAACATACCATTACGTGGTAGACCTTGCTAATGCCTTCTTTTCCATTGACCTTGAGAGGGAAAGTCAGGAACAGTTTGCCTTCATGTGGGAAGGACGGTGGACTTTCACCATCCTCCCACAGGAATACCTCCACAGCCCCACCATCTGGCATGGACTTGTAGCCCAGGACTTGGCTACATGGGAGAAACTGCCAATGGTGCGGCTGTACCATTATATTGATGATGTCATGCTCACGTCCGATTCTCCTTCAGATCTAGAAGGTGCAGCACCTAGACTGCTGCAACATTTACAGGAGAAAGAATGGGCTGTGAACAGCACCAAGGTTCAGGGACCTGGTTAGTCTGTTAAATTCTTGGGGGTTGTCTGGTCGGGTACGACCAAAGTTATACCAGAAGCAGTTATAGACAAAGTCCAGGCCTTTCCTAACCCCACAACTGTAGCATTGCTACAGGAGTTTCTGGGTCTTCTATGCTACTGGAGAGTGTTTATACCGCACTTGGCACAAATGCTGAAGCCCTTATACCGGTTGGTACGAAAGGGCATCAGGTGGGACTGGCCTTTACTACAGCAAAACAGGCAGTTAAGGCTGTGCAGGCCTTGAGTGTGATAGATCCATCAAGGCCCTGTGAGCTGTATGTTCATGTCACTGAAGATGGTTATGGCTGGGGTCTCTGGCAGCAGCTTGAACTAACTCGCCAACCTGTTGGATTCTGGTCACAACTCTGGAATGATAGTCAGGTCATCTTTACAGTGGTCATTAGGAAGGCTCCTGTACCTGGCACTTGGCAGGCTTCTAGCTAGGATCCAGAAAAGTGCAGGACACAAACCTCCCTGTGAGTAGGACAGAGGGACTTTATGAAGACCCTGATTATTTGTGTTTGCTGCCCCAAATTCTGTGAAACCCCATGTAATCCAGTGCTTCCTCCCATGCCCCTAGGGAAACTGCTTTTGTCAAATTCAGCTCCACATGATTAAATGCAGGAGGTACTTACCTGAACTCATCTTACTGGCCTCTTACAGGATCTTAGCAGCATTCAGACAAATAAGCACTCTTTGTCCTTGAAACCCTGTCTTCTGCTGGCCACTGAATCATCCCCTTCTGCTCCTGTCACTCCTTCTAAACCTGCTGGTTCCTCCTCATCTTAAGCACAGCAAAGCCTCAAGACTCAGACCTCAGACCTCTTTTTCTCTCAATAGTCCTTCCCTATGACCTCATTCAGCCTCACACTGCTAAATATGTCTGTAGTTACCATGGACGTCTCCCTAAATTTTACCTCCAGTCTGTACATCTCTCAACTCTAGATTCATATTTCCACCTGCTTAGTTGGCATCTCCACCTGGAGGTTAGATCAGCATCTCAAATATGCCCAACACACAGCCCCTAATCTCCCATAGCCTGGGTCTCCTGCGCTCCTCTCCCTCACATTTATTTGCAACTCCATCCATCCTGTTGCTCAGGCCAAAAATGTTTGGAGTCATTCCTGACTTGTCCCTCTCTCACACACAGCACTTAACCAATTTGTCAACAAATTCCTTGGCTCAGTTTTCAAACTATATCCAGATTACGATGTCCTTGGTTCCACTGCTACCCCTGGTCATTCTCTTGCCAGAACCTCCTGCTTCCTCTCAAGCCCCATCAGCCCATTATCTACACAGCAGTGAGTGGTTTCAGACGCAGATCAGAGTTGCTCAACTGCGTGCTGGTGAGAGAGGGCTGGGGGTTGCCAACGGTGTTACAGTGGTCTCTGTAAGTCTGCCCCCCATCTCTTTGCCCTTATCTCCCATCCTGTCCCTCATTCACTCAGCTGTAAGCATACAGGCTTCCTTGCTCCTGCCAGACCGCACCAGGCATATTCTCATCTCAGGTTTTGCCCTTGTTGCCTCTCTGTCTGATGGACTCCTCCCCGAGCTACCAGACCAGGCTCACATAGAACTTCACACTGTTACCTTCGCTTAAAGGGCATTTAAATGGCAACTCCTCCCCACCTCTTGCTGTCCACTTCCACCGTTTTATTCTTAGACAGTTTCAATACATCATCTAAAATATATAATAATAGTATGTCTCACTTAATTAAAAAAAAAAATCTGTTCCCCTACACCAATAAACAAAAAAGCTTCCTTTGAGAGCAGATGTGGTTCCTAATCTGTCCTGTTCCTGGTATGTCCCCATGTGTAAAAGTACTTAAAGTAAGAGTTCAATAATATTTGAGGAATGAGTAAGGGAACAAATGACTGAATAATTTATATTTACTGCAAATGTAATGACTTTAAATAATACAGATTAATTATCTAGCCGTTTTCTAGGGCAGAAGTCTGAAATGGGTCTCAGTGGCCTAAAATCAAGCTGTTGGTAGGGCTGTGTTCCTTTGTAAAGGCTTAGGGAGAATCCATTTATTTGCTTTTTCCAGCTCCTACAAGCCACCCACAATTCTTAGCTTGTGGTCCCTTCCTCCATCTTCAAACCAGCCAAGGCTGAGTCTCCTCCACTGCCCCCTCTGGAAATGCCTTCTGCCCCAGACGTATGGTACCTCTCAGTGGTCACTCAATCAAAACTGCCTCTCAGCTGGTTGTCATTGGACAAGATGCCAATAAATGACTTTACATTGTTGCTGGGCAGCTGTGTCTGGGGAGGTCTCTCCCTGCGCACCATGTGAAACCTTAATCTGGGTGGGGGAGGTTTCTTGACTGGATGAGAAAGAATTTTCAAACAGGTTGGACAAGTGTAGGTAAGGAAGGAATTCATTAAAGTGAGAGCAGCAGAGAATGGCAGCAGCTATACAGGCAGTAGAGAACAAGGAAGAACAGAGGGAAGAGAGGGAAGCTCATTGAACTCCTGTTAGCACAGGGCAGATCCCTTGCCAGCTCCTAAAGCCAGGGTCATGTGGCATCCAGTGTGTGTTTGAACCTACATGTTGTGGGAACTAAGCCCCTATCACCCTAGGATTTGGGGGAGCCGCAGAGCACTGAATGAAGTGAGATTATGTTCTAAGAACTTCCCAAAAGCTAAGAAAGGAGATTTTCAGGCAGACTATTAAAGAACATGATCGTACAGCTGCAGTGCTGTCCAGGTCACCCAGGTGAT